TTCAAAGCACAAATTCTCTTAAAGATAAAGAAAAATAATAATGGTAACTCCAGCCTTTAAAACTAATAAAATGACTTATCTTATCTTTGGTAACTAACCTGCCCCTAACACCGCAAAATACACACACCACTACCATGAACACAAACTTCTTCCACTCCTAAGGACAGATACACTGATATGGCTCCAAATGTATGTATGATGTGTGTGTGTGTGTGTGTGTGTGCATGCACGTGCACATGAACATGTGCATATGTGTGATTGTTGGGATTAAATTCACTGTAGTGTGACCAGATATTTACATTATTTATTCATCAATATCTTATAGTAAATTGTTGCATGCTTGTAAACTTAGATATCTAAGTTACCCTTGTTTTTGGTAACTTCCTCAGTTTCTGTCACATCCAAATTCATATGATCTCATTAAAGCCTTACATTTGTTTGGTAAAACAGTCATGGAAGCAATAGGTCCCTGGTGTCCTCATTTGTTTAGGTTAAGAAACTGAGAGAATGAGAAGTAGAGCAAAATGTAAACCTAGATCTGATTTTAAGTTGAACATTCATATACTCCAGGCAAAGGTCATTGATGACATCTTTACTGCCAAATCTAACACCTAGTCTTTAATCGTAATCTTACTTGACCTGTTTTTGATAAGCGACATTTTTGATAGCTGCTTTCTTCTTGAAGCAGTCTTTTCCCCTGACTTGTGACAACACTCTTCTCCAGTTTTTCCACTCAGCAATGACACCATTCCACTCTGCAAATTGCCTTTGCAAACGTTTTTCTCTTCTATTTCTTAAATGTCATTGTCCCTTTGGATTCTATGCTTGCCCTTTGATCTTGCACTACAAATCTGTCTGAGCAATGTCAGGCACTTCCATAACTTCAAGATCTGCCAGTATACTGGTAATTTTCAAATTTATTAGTCCAGAGACTACTGAGCCTCAGGTTATATTTTCAACTGGCTATTGAGTCCCCATATCTCAGAACCACATCAAGTTCTTCATGTCCAAATATAAAAATCTGTGCTCATAATTTTTTTTTTTTGTTATTTACTGTCTCATACCAAAATATGTATCTGTGTACATGTTCCTGGTCCATACTGTATCTTCTAGGAATCACAATTACGAAGAATAAAAGGGTACTTGTCTACAAGGTGGCTATCAAAATCTCTGTGATGGGAGAAAGAGAATTAAAATGCATTAAAAAATTTAGCTCATGAGTGATGCCAGTCATATTTGAAGACTAACATCTACATGGTATGGCTATTGGATAGTGCAGGTGTAGAACAGTACCATCATTACCAGAATGGTCTATTGGTCAGCCCTATGCATACCAGGCAAATAATAAAAGAGCAGTAATAAAGTGAGGACTTTATAGAAATCTACATATACTTTCTACCTGAACTATCTCTTGAACTTACTCTTAGTGCTTATCTCTTTGTTCCTGTTGTCTTTAGGGAACAACCTAACAGATTCTCCCAGTCACAAATATTTCTCGATCCAGATACATTCTTTAAATTGCTGCTAACTGTATTTACCTATCTTGTCACTTCTCTGCTTTAAACATTTTATAATCCCTCATTGACTACAGGATAGAGTTCACACTCACTAACATGGAAACAAGACTTCTTATCAACTAATTTACCACTCTAATCTCAAAAGTCATTGCTCCCCAGACACATCCCTTGAATTCCAATTACAACAAGATTTCACTGTTCCATAAACAAAAAATAGAACCAAAACAAAACCAAAAAAAAAAAAACAAAAAAACTGTCACCATGCTGCCTCAAATGCCTGGCCTCCACTCCTTAGTGTTGTTCCACTTCCTCATAGAACTCAACTAAAGCACCACTTCCTTCGTTCTTGGGCTTCACCAAATCCTTGAGTTCTCTATCACATCACATTATGATTATTTGTTGATATGTCTATTGCCCCCACTATAAACTTTGAAAGAAAAGGGACAGTGGTTGATTATTTATACTAATTGTCTAGTAGAGTGCATTTTGCACAGAAATTATTTCATATTTTCTTGCTGTTGTTGAAAAATGAGATGATAAAATAATAAACAAAAGAGTTATAAAATTGAGAAGATTTACCCTTGTTCTGCGAATAATCCTTTACCCATTTTTATATAATGTTTCTCTATTGCCAAAGCCTTTTCCCCACCAATCACAGTTTACTACTTAGTCTAATAATAATATCTTTGACAGGTCAATAAAACGAGTTTTACAAGTCAATAAAACAATTGTTTTTCAGTTAGTAGCTGAAGATGAAGGGAGCTCTTAAATTGTCAGCAGTTCTTTACTGTGCTAACGTATTCAGTGAAACATGAAAACAAATGAACAGCTATAACAGTAAGAACAACAAAACCTGAGTATTTCCAAATATGTTCTGTGGGAATATGCTGATGGAACAAATAGAATAAAGGACTCTCATGTTACTAAAAAATCTTTGTCAATTCAGTGAAGCATACAGAGTTTACTCTTAGTTTCCTCTAATGTGATTTGTTCCTTCTTAGATCTTTACTTGTATCTATTGAAGTCAATTTTGTTTCACAGCATAGAGGTGCATTCTGTTATTATTTGTCAAAAGAAAAAACAGTATTATAATGACGTTGGGGGTGAGAAACAACAGAAAGGAATAATAAGTTTCAAATAATGTCAAAATAATCTTTTTTTTGTGAAAATAAGATACCACAGCAACAATGATGCTGAGGTCTTTTTAAACTATTGCTAAAATTGTTATAGTTTTGTAGGACATCTTGTCATATTTTAAATAAAGATTTTCAGTCATTTCTCATGTTGTCAGTGAAATCTCCACTTGAAAGTGTTCACTTTTTGACACAACTTAATCTTAGATTATTAAGTTAGAAACATGGGCAGCATGTGATGCAACTAAGAAACTGCAAGGAAAGCATTTAGAAGCAAAACATTGTAGATATTTGACCAATGGATTATATGTACAGCGAGAAATTCTGAAGACGTGCTCATTTAAAAAAGTGATTGAGTAGAGATACACTAATTAATGAGGAACCTCTATTTTTTTAAAAGTAAATTCATCCATTATATATTCTTCTTTGATCTCACAATTTGTTAGCTTTTTAACCAAGAACAATAGCATGACAGAATCTTGCTGTGTGGCCTCAGAGGTTTTGTGTGCGTGTGTGTGATTGGAAAACTCATTTACGACAATTTTCTCTGCCTTTCCAGTTCTCTAGGTGTTTTTTTCATAATATAAATAAAATATTACATGTTGATGTTTAGAAAATAGGTTATAATTTTAATATAGGAATTTATACATGGGGCAACCACATTTTTCTTTAATATATTTCTCCACCTCTGAGATTAACTTTCAGTATATTTATACTAGGGTAAGACATTACTTTGTTATAAATACATTTCTGTTAAATGGATTATATTTATCAAGAAATAAGCATTGAACTGGTGCACAAAATATATACTTACTTGCTATGTATGTTCATCAGAAAGTGACTCTTGAAGTTCATTTAATTGATTGTAAATCCCTTATTCTTTATTTAACAGAGCTCATTTATACAAATAATGTCAATCCACAACACAGCTTTTCAGGATCAGGATACTGTTGCTATAAGGCATGCTTCAATACACTAACACACTAGGACTACTCCAAACAACAGGCATTCATCTCTAGGCAAGAGGCTTCAAGAGAAATTACTGTGAATTCTTAGAGTCTGAAAGAATGAGAATGCTTTTTGGAGAATCTGTCCCCTGGGGGTGAGGGGATCAGTGGGAGACAGCATTATTGGCCAGGACACTAGGTAAAGAATGATCTGGGCTCACAAGTTGGCCTCATTCAAAAGCCATGTTTTCATTAGCACTTTTAAGTGCAATGATGGTTTGTATTTCTGTCCCCGAAAGTGTTCAGAAGCCTGAGGGTACAGACTGAAACAAAAACGTGATAGGTTCAGATGGAAGAAAATGAGAAGTTTGTACAAGACCAAATAAAGCTTCCCGCTGAGAGTATTTATTAACAGCTCTTCCCCTTAATAACTGAGTTGATGCTAAAGGTGTATATTTAAGAAAAGTTATTTCAGTGGAGACAAATCTAAGCAGAAAAATAATATACTGAAGTCAAAGTATGATTATAGTAGCATTATTATTCCATAAAGCTTGTATTCAATCAAAAATGGAAGCTTCTCATAGAGTATCTGTACTTATCTATAATTTACATAAAATAGCAAGATTAAAAACTCATTGCAGTTTTCTTCAAAATAAATATTTTTCCTTGTGGTTATTTGTTTTTTCCTCTTTGCTTCATTTTCTCTCAGAACCTAATCTAGATTACAGGTCTAGAAAATATTTAATAGAGTAATAATATAACAAAATTTCAGCTTATTTGATACATGTAATGATATAATTTTACATATGTGATGTGCATGATGATAAAAATATAGAATATACATCTGATGATACTTAAATTACTCTAGGGATTACATTAAGTTACTTTCATTTAGATTATTTAACATTATATAAAAACATTTTAAGCTCCAGGATCAGGAGAATCAGGACAATGCAATGATGTTACTGGGAATAGCAATCACTGGCAAAGGAATAGCCCTTCAATAAAAGAAATAAGCTGCCAAAGATATGTAACTCACACCAGGGCAACAGTTCAGGCACTGTTGGAAAACAAACTGTAATGTTTGAAAAATGTGAATTCTTTTCTTTTTCTTTCCTTTCTTTTCTTTTTTAACATCTGGATCTCAAAAATTACACATCTAGGGTAGTATGAATCATACCATTTATGAATAATGGGCATTAACTTTGACTTAAACCTTGCATTTTTTTTCCATATATATATATGCTTTAAGTAATATATTATGTATATATACTATGTATATATGTATGTATATATAATGTATATATGCATGTATATATGTATGTAATATGTATATATGTATGTGTATATACACATACACATATATATATATGCTTTAAGTAAAATATATAAATATATCTTGCCTTACAAACTCTTCCAACTCGAGAAAGAATGGTTTTATCGGAGGTACTGCCTTCTTGAGATGATTCACGAAAGAAGAAATATATTTTATCGTCATCTGGATTGTAGGTGTCTGGTATGGGGAAAGTTCCAATAAATTTTGCTCCTGTTTGAAAGAAAAGAAGCTATAAATTAAGATGCTGAAACAATCCAGTCATCATAGTATGGTGATATTTCCATGTAAAAGCAATTAGCAGTAGGATTTTTAAAAAATGAACTATGGGCAGGATGTGGAAAATGAGATGTTGTATATAAATGAACATGACACAATGTATAAATATGTGTCAGCATAGAGGTACTGAACAAGTTCTCCAGGAATTCCAGAGAACAGGTGAGAACATGACTAGATTAAATTACTTGTAGATCTTTTCAGATACGGAGATACTATGATTTTATATTCTCTTTCTATATAATGAAGTTTTTAACCACCATGTCTTTATTTTTCTTTTTTTCATTAGGAGACTAAGTTTTATTTTTAAAACTATTCTTCACAACTGAAAGCTACAACAAAGGGCAGAGGTTGCATATTTCATATTTGAGTGCTTGTAAGGTTACTGTTCTCAAACATTTATTGTCTGTTCTGCTTATAAATATTTAGTTTCATGAATATTCTGGCATCATGGCTCAGTTCCTCTTTTCTCATCATGAGTAGAGGCAGGGTTATGTTAGCAAACATAATAAAAAGCACGTTGATATTGTTGACCATGAGGTTCTGAGGTCCAGGTGGAGTAGGCTCTGTTTATTTCAATTTATTTGTTCACCTACATAAGAGATTCTGTTGCTACCCCTCTCTGCCTCTCATCCTCCTATCTTTTACTGATGGATTATAAATTACAGTTGGTAAAAGTATATACTGTTGAGTTTATAATCAGTTAGATAGGATGTGTCCTTTGAATTATGTCTCTATTGGTGGGGCATGATAAGATTTCTCTGAGGCAATAACTTTTGTTTTTTAAATCTTCTTTTCCTAATTGAATACCCTTTATTTCTATCTTTTGCTGATTGCCGTGGCCAGAACTTCCAATACTATGTTGAATAGGAGTGGTGAGAGAGGGCATCCTTGTCTTATGCTGGTTTTCAAAGAGAATGCTTCCGGTTTTTGCCCATTCAGTATGATATTGGCTGTGGGTTTGTCATAAATAGCTCTTATTATTTTGAGATACATTTCATCAATACCTAGTTTATTGAGAGCTTTTAGCATGAAAGGCTGTTCCATGTCCTTTGCAGGGACATGAATGAAGCTGGAAACCATCACTCTCAGCAAACCAACACAAGAACAGAAAACCAAACACCGCACTCTCCCACCCACAGGTGGGAGCCGAACAACGAGAACACACGGACACAGGGAGGGGAACATCACACACCAGGGCCCGTCTAGGGGTGGGGGACTAGGGGAGGGATAGCATCACGAGAAATACCCAATATAGATGATAGGTTGATGAGTGCAGCAAACCACCACGGCACGTATATACCTATGCAACAAACCTGCATGTTCTTCACATGTACCCTAGAACCCAAAATACAATAAAAAAAACACACCCTAAGAAATCTTCTTACTTAGTGTCCGGCCACAAATAACAATCATATGGTGGCCAAGATTAGAAGGCTCAGTCTGTGGTCAGTGTTAGGGGTTCAGTCTGGAGCCAGGGTTAGCTAGGTGCCAGGGGACACATTGAATGATTAGTTCAGGTTAATCCTCTCTTAACTTTTTCTGTACCCCAGAAGGGTATTTACTTTTATGATCCACCATCTACCACATTCTACTCAGAGAACACAGCCCTGAGGGAAGTGATCCCTGAGCTGGAAGGTGGAGGGCAAAGGAAGGAGGAGGTGAAGTCAGAAGCAAGTCCAGGCTAGGGTAACACATGCAGCAGCTGCGACTGTGGGAAGCTCAAGTAACCACCATGTCTTTCATAAAAGGCTTAGGAAATAGTAAATATCTAGCACTGATTTTGACATATTGTGATGTATGAATACTTTGATGAATTTTGTGTAATTGCCCTAGGGGTATAAAAATGGAAACAACCAATAGTGTTTGGTTCAAGTTCAATATAGCAGTATAGGCTCTAGATAAACTTTCTGAGTGTATATCTTTTCTCTGCCACTTACTGGAGTGGTGACTTTTGACACATTATTTATCTTTTCAATGACTCAATTTACTCATATGTAATATAAGACTACCAATGTCATCTACCTAATAAGATAATTTATATTATTACCAAGTGAATTTATATGTGTGTATATATAGCATTTATATACACAAAGCATCTATATAAGCATTAAATTCCTTTTTATATGTGTATATATGCTATATATAGCATTTATATATAGCATTTAATATAGCATATATATAGCATTTTATATATAGCATTTATACATAATATATATATTATTTATATCTATATATAAATAAATATATAGCATTTTTATATATAGCTTTATACAACAAACATTTAGCTTTAACACCTCCAGTATTCCCCCGAAAACAATTTTTTACAATACAAAAGCCAATGTTTACCAGAGTTCTATAAAATCAGCAATGACTGAATAAACAGAATAAGGCTATTTATGGTATATATTAGTTAAAAGGTAAAATAAATAGCACTTCAAAAAATATCCATGCTTTTTCCTCCTCCCACCTCATTGATGTTATACTGAAATGTATATAGCATATATATATATATACAGCATATATATATATGTATAGCATTTAGCATCAGACAAAGGCTGATTTTACAATAAGTGTTTAATAAGTGTGATTTATTATTAAGATAGTTATGTGGCTGATAAGTATTATCATTATGATGACAATACAGAGGGGTTAATAGAAAATTTAGTACATCCATGTACTTGTAAAAACAATATATCATTATTAAAAATTTACTAGATCTGTATGTACTGACCTGGAAAGATGGCCATAATATATGTACAGTGTAAAAATGTTTGCAATATGAGAAAGCTCTTTTCACTGTATCAGTGACAAATCTATTTGGGTTTCTAAATCCTTGTTTAAGAGTTATTGGGCATTTTAAGTCTTGGTTTTAAATAACTGTGAATTAACCAGGTAACAGATGTGTAATAGGACGTTATTAGTTCAGAAATAATTGGATTAAAGCAAAGAAGACAGACAGTATGGTTATTGAGAAATGAAGGAAAGACTTTAAGTAGGAAATGTGTGGCACCTGGAAAGAAGCACAGAGCACTGATTTTTTAAGAAGTAGAAGCAGGAGAGAAGAGAAGCCAAAAAGGTTTAAAAGAAAAATAAATTGGCGGGGGGTGAAAAAGATCAATATTGCCTTTTCTAGAGTTTTGCCTAGAGCTCTGATTGCTGTGTGTCCCATGTGTTATGAAAATCACTCTCCTGCAAATGCACAGTAATTGGCCAATATCCCAATAAAGAAAGCTTCACAGTAGCCTTTTTCAATAGACAAAAGTTAATGTTGGGGTTGGGTGTGGTGGCTCATGCTTATAATCCCAGAACTTTGGGGAGGCTGAGGTGGGTGGATCACTTGAGGTCAGTAGTTTGAGACCAGCCTGGCCAATATGGTGAAACCCTGTCTACTAAAAATACAAAAATCAGCTGGGCATGGTTGTGCACATCTGTAATCCCAGCTACTTGGGAGGCTAAGGCACGAGAATCCCTTGAACCCGGAAAGCACAGGTTGCAGGGAGCCAAGATCACACCAGGTCACTCCAGCCTGGGCGACAGAGAGAGAGACTACGTCTCAAACAAAACAAAACAAAACAACAACAACAACAACAAAAAGTCTCAGCCTCTCTGGGTTGGCCGTGTGTCTCCCATCCAATCTCTTCTTTGCTTTAATGCAAAGCTTTGAAAGGAAAACAGAGGAGGGAAATACATTCATGAACTTTCTTCTCCTTATTCTATATTATTTTCCTGTTTTGTTTTGTTTGTTTTGTTGGTAATTTAGAACTTCAATGGACTTTTTATATTCTTGATAACCTCACTTTGGTATGGTTTTTCAAAAACATATAAAAATAAAACTTTAGAAAATCACATAAAGTATTTATTTTTTTTCTAACTAATCTCAAATTGTCAAGGTCCATTAACAATTCCATTCAACGTCTCGCCCCACCCCCGCCCCGGCCCTCTTTCAAATTATTAGTAAATCACAAACACTTGGTTTTAATCACTGAGCAAAGTAAAAATCTTTTTTTTTTTTTAAATCTCAAACCAGGACTTCAGATTTTTTATTTAAATATGTTTTCTTTTAAAAAGCAACTCTTGGTGTGGCTCACACCTGTAATCCCAGCACTTTGGGAGGCCGAGGCCGGCAGATCACCAGGTCAGGAGATCGAGACCATCCTGGCTAACACGGTGAAACCCCGTCTCTACTGAAAATATGAAAAATTAGCCAGGTCTGGTGGTGGGTACCTGTAGTCCCAGCTACTCAGGAGGCTGAGGCAGGAGAATGGCGTGAACCTGGGAGGTGGAGCTTGCAGTGAGCCGAGATCGTACCACTACACTCCAGCCTGGGTGACAGAGTGAGACTGTCTCAAAAGAAAAAAAAAAAGGAACTCTTTGTGGGATCAAATTGTTCTATAAATGTGAGATTCGGGTTTCTGAAATGTAAGAAAACAGAGAAATAATGTATTTAATTATTATATTCAAGGAACTTAGTGCAAAAAAAGAAAACTATTGAATTAATACAAGAATTAATAACAACTGACACTCTATATCAAACCAACTATAATCTGGATTAAGGAAATATTGACAAATGGTCAAGGCATGGCTAAGGAGAATGCCTAGCCATGATTTTCCCATTGACTTGAAATGATATTACAACAATGAACAGATAAAAACAACCAACTGTGGGTTCCCACAAACACAGACCAGGGATGAATAAGAATCTACAGAACTTTTTGAATTTACAGATGTTTAAATCCAGTGTTGCCAAACTGGATGGAATTATCTAGCTGGACTGCCATGTGTATTTCAAACATATACAAATACAAAAATAAATAAAACCCTATGTATACATGGAATGGGAAAAAGATACATTTAGACTCATTAACTCAAGGTCAGTAATACAGTTGTATGGATGGACAGGGCGGTATGGTGACTTAATAATAAATTCTTAAGTA